CTGCTGTGGTTCCCACCTGTGAGGCGGAGAGTCCGGTAGCATCAATTACTGCTACTCATCTCATCACCAGTCAAAAACGGGACCGGACAAGTCAGTGGTGCACGAGAGTCGAAATGGATTGCTCTGCCCTACGGAAATGGAGTTTGTTCCACATTATACTAAATATGACTTGTTAAGAATAGTAACGTAGCCTGTAGCTAACTGAAGAGCAGACTTGGTAGACCTTAGAAACTAGTCAAGTTGTGGAGTTAATGATCAAGTATTCGACCGCGGCATATAATCAAGTCTAACACACCCCTACGAAATGGCCATAGTTGTGACTTTCGCCGCATAAATCTCACTCTCTCCTTATAAACAATAAAGCAACGATAACAAGAGGGCGGCTGAACGCCTCCCCCCTCCCACGCCTGCCATGTTTGACCTGGTATTCAAATCCACATAAACCACGCTTCGCTGGGAAAGTTCCTCGAGAGCATCATATCAGTCCAAAATATTTCCTCAGTTGTCAATCTTCTAGGAAAGAGATTTTAACTCATCACGATGAACTAAAAGCACGTGTGGATTATTATTATTATTATTATAGTGAGGAAACTGGGCTTACACCTGCCCTAGTCTGAACCAAACTGACTGACAATGGTGAGGTCACGTGCATCGACTGACAAAACGTAAAGCCCCCAACCAACGCGCGCTCTATAGCTGTTTGACGAACGCTAGGGTCTGACGGAGCGGAGCAACTCGTTTTGTGGACTTCGCATAATTCCAATTATTATCAGCAACGTAAGAGAGAAAAAAAGCAAAGTGATGGCTGCCTCAGCTGTCATTAACACATGGGGAAAGAGAACAGGGGGTTGGATATTACATCAGGGTTTTGAAAACACAAGTGCATAAAGCAACGATCGCAGGAATTTGATTCACAACTGCTCCAGTTCAATATGCAGTTCTAGCTGGCTCCTGCGAATATGCTACTACAGTCTCCTACCACTTGAATTGACAAACTGCGCACCTTCACTCGATAAAATTGCAGCCGCACTTCTGCTGACCGGAATATGCACGACGGCGCAAATGGAGGACAAATTAACTATAGCATCCCGTGAAAAGTCAGCACTTTGAATAGCGTGCATTTCATTCCTGGTACATAGTGAAAATGATCGGTGGTGCAACCAATCCAATCGTCTATCATGCCAACAGAATGGGATAAAAAGGGAGCTCTGGTAGTGACAGAGGTAACAAGTGGGCTTCATACGTAACACATAGCAACATGAGATGTGCTTATAAATCAGAGCATACAGAGGTGAATAGGGAAAACAGCACACACAAAGAATACAGTTTTATAGGCGTGCTTTGAATTTGGCTTCGAATTCCCGCACTCAAAATTGTCGAATTCCCGAGGTTATAGTCTGCCAGATAAGATAGAGATTTAGTAGAAGGACGAAAATGATTAGTCTTGACAAAATAATCTTCATGAAAACCCGATAACAAGGCCATCGAAAAATCCTCCCTATCTAAACCGAATAGATTTTTCTGAATACTTTTGAAAACTACAAACAAACGGGCCAGTTTTATTTACCTCTTACATTTTTGGTCAGCTTAAACGTACACTGATGGATAATTAGCAGAATTTAGCGATGGTATAGAACAGCTAAGACAAATCATAGAGTCGACTCCGGGAATCCTTTGACCATAGAAAAAAATATAAACACCAAGCAGCCACGATTTGAATCCAGGTACAGTGGCGCACATAGCCATGACGCACTCCAATACGCAGATCTCAAGGGCAGAAAAAGCAGCTGAAATTACTATTCCGGTCATTATCAGTTTTCTGTGGAGCAGACGAGGTGGCACAAAAAAATAATGCCAATACCCAGTAGGCGACCACTGAAAGCTCGTTGTCGACCACTTGCGAGCACTTTGAGGTTAAGGTGTATGGGCATCTAATGACGGACCGCAGACCGACATCCATACGGTTTTACTGTGGCACAGCGGGATTAAACCGCTGATCGATGAGCCGATCATGCAAGCGGCAGGGCAGTTACATCTTCATCATGGAAGTATTATTCCACAAAACACCAAGCCAACCAGGAGAAAAGGGACTACGTCCCTAGTACGGACATTCAACAAATGAATGAAGCAGACATTGCTAGTAAAAGTGACAAGCCAGCCTCCGTTTCTTAGATGCCTTTCAGGCCTGCATCGATGCTATTTTATAGGGCGCGGGAACTGTCAGACGTACGTTAAGATTTTTGAGTACGCACAATATGGCTAGTTCGTGATCCGATATCTACCCTACGGTCCCTCAAAATTCTTCCTGAAAATCAAACCAAGACTCAGTTGCCCTTAGTAAGAAGAATGACCCAAGAGGTTCAAACAAGTAAGTGTCTTCTGGTCAGTACATGGACCCAGGTAAAGACAGCAAAACTGAGGGTGGAACAGAAGAAGGCAACAAGCAAAATGAAGATTGGTTAAAATTCTAAAAATCTAGATCAG